AAACAGTCTTCAAAATGAGGACTATCAGCAAATGACTCTAATGCATTTACAACTGGGAAAGTTGTCATTAGAACAGTGTGTTGAATTTGTTCAGCAACAAGAATTAATTAGAAAGTTTAATGAACAAAAGTTACAATGTGGGTAGAGGAAACGGGCACATACATGATTAAGAAAAAAGACAGAATCATGTATATTTTTTGTGAATATCGACATCAAAGAGAAAAACAAAAATGTCCAGCATATAAAAAAAAATGTGAAGTGTTTCAAAATGAATCATTTTAAATGTATTTGTAAGTCCCAAAGGAAAAATGTAGAGACAGTCCAACAAAATAAAGAGGAAATAAATATGGACATATTTTGATTGAAAAAGATTTATTAAAAATTGGAATCAATAATGTTTTATTTGACATGCAACTAGATATGGGAAGTGACATGATGTTGATACCCAGAAATTTCTGGAAGAAATTAAGAAAAACAAGATTAAAGAAAAGCTTTGTCCAATTGAATCAGTACGAGGGATCGTTGATAAAAACTTTAGGCTATTTTGAAGCCTATATGAAACTAAAAAATAAGTTTGACATATTACCAATTATCATGGCAAACTGTGAAAAGAATCATGGTCTAATAGGAAATGATGTATTGAATATAAATTAAACAAAATTAATAAACAAAGTCAAGGCAGAAGAAACTGGAATGTTCAAAAACTATGAAGCAAAGTTAAGACAAAAGGAAAATGTTTCTCCCTCATATTTTTAAGCACGAAATGTTGCAGATTTTGGTTACATCTTTTCAACTTGAATTGTCATTTTAACCAAGGATGTTAAAAGTTCAAAATAACTACACATTAACCCTTTAGCATTCAACATGCTCAAACCTGCCCCACTTTGTGTGACTTCCTGCATTGTTTGCGATGATGTCCTATTATGGCAGAGTATACATGGGGCAGGTTACAGTGGACTGAATATTGAGAGCTGATATTTATGGAAGTGGTTGAATGCTAAAGGGTTAAACAACAAGGGCATGTATTAAATGAAAGTAATTTAGGAATGCACTGAAAGAAACATTTTTAAGTATTCTGATCAGGAAATAAACAATCGCATTTAAAATTTTTAAATATCACATTTTACTATAAACCATTTAAATGCTGAGAAAATAACAGTAATATATTTATATCTTATTTTAAGCTCATACCTTTTTGTAATACAATCTTGTTTGTTTATTTTTTTTCCTCAAAGGTCTCCCAAGAATCTTGCTTGAAAATAAATATTAATCTGTTTTTTAAGATCTAGGGTTTAGTCTTTTGTCACTACTATGACTGTTCTGCAGCAGAGAGTAAAATCCCAAAGCCAGTTTATAAGCAGTAATGGAAGAAATCAATATCTTGACAATTCTACAGAAACGGTTGGTACCAAATACAGTCTAAAATTACTTAATTGGCTGCTTATGGTGCAATCACCCAGAGACAATAATTTCAGTTCTTATTTTCTCTTTGATGACTTGTTGATTCAGTTGTTAATGTAGTACGATGGAACCCAGTTGTGTAATGTTCAAGCATGACCAACATTACATCAACCTTTGCGGTTCCCAAGGGAAAAATGGAAAGCAACCCACTTATGTTATCATTTACACTTGTCTTTGCCGTGTACTTTGTTGTGTTTTCAGTTTTGTAGGTTTTATCTCTCTGCCAGAGGCCCAAACAAAGCAGACAAATATCACCAACATATACATAGATAAAGAGTGTGTGAGTTAAGATCTGGTTTTTCAATATGATAGAATATGTTAACCTTAGCAAGTAATTTTGTTAATAGTGGTCACGTATCTACTTACTTAAAAAAAAAATGAATACTGTTCCTTGACATTCTATATTGATAGCTTGATGATGGCACAGTAGACATCATAGGATTCAATACAATTATTGGTAAAATGTTTAATTTACTTAGAAAGAAGAAACTTGATTTCAAACCAAAGCAAAAAGGATTATTTGTATTTTAAGATTATTAAAGATTTAAAATGCCACCTATAATGATTGTGATGATAATTAAAATATTAGTCTTTTGTTAACTTTGTGTGTTTCAAAGTGACCTACACTTTAGAACGATGTGAAGGTAGCAATCTGCAAGCCAAGTTGAAGTTCCAGCCTAGTATGTTGCATTCTTTTTGTACTTGTTCTCTTGGGAAAGGTATGAATCTATTGCCCCTCCTATTATAGGTTAAATAGTAGAGCAGACTGGACCATCTCACTTTGAGTGATGACCACTTTAAATGAAAGACAACTCTGTATTCAAAACCATGGAGAAGACAACGGAAACCTCTCAACTATCTTTATCAAGAAGTCATGGCAGTTCACTAATAATAGAGAAAAGGAATCTATAGAAAGCCATGATCACTTGTATCCTGAAGGGACATGCCCCATTGCAAAAAAAAGAACTCTTTCAAATCCCTATTATGAAATATAAATAAAAATATTTGTTGTTTTGCTTTTGATAGAGAAACAAGAAGTTTCATCTCTTGGATTGTGTTGGTAATTTGTTACTTCTCAAGAAAAATGAGAAAAGATAATATGCATATTTTCTGCTGGATTTACTCTTACAGTTAAAAGCAAATTAAATATGAAACTGGCAAATATGTTGAGTTTCATATTCTCAATGGACAAACATCCAACAGTAACTCTGTACCTGGCCTACATAACGCAGTGTCTTTTTGGGCCTTTTGGAGAATGGAACAGCTATAGTGTTATGGAAATGATTTTGTTTTCATAGCAGCATTTGTAATTCTCTTAAAAGAGTATGCTGTTTTTATTGAATGAAAAAGTTTACTGTCATAATAAGCATCCAAATAGCAATAAAACTTTTAATACAACATTTGCTATTATTAGCATTTAAGTGAGTAGCTAGGTCTCACTCAGCAAAAATCACACCTAACAGTATCCAACATGGGTTTGAAATTAGCACCTGTTTAACAACCAGAACAAAATGTTAGATATTTGTTTTAGTTATCCTTCATTTTAAATCCAAAACTAGCTAAGAAAATGTCAATTTATCTAATCAGGCTTTACTAACTTCTTAACTATTACAGTGGGAATACACTCAATCAATTATGTTTAAATGTCACAATCTGCTTATTTTGTTTCATTTTTTTTTTTTTAAATAGTCCTTGACTTTTTATAATTTTCCTTGGTCAATTTTTTTTTTTAATATTTAAAAATGTTCAATTAATTGTACTGGCATTGAATTTTATATACAGTCAAGTTTCACTAACTCATGGATACTCTATTGAAAAATTTAAAGTTAAGACTTTAGATATTTCTCTCTTTAGAAATTTCTGGAGTCTTTTACTCTGGCAGTATTTCACTACCAGTTTGTAGATAGCAACAAAGGCACTAAAAATAAAGTGATTGTTCTGATGATACTTTGTCAATATAATGTCATATAAAAAATATCCTACTCCAAATGTGACTTAGTACCAGACCTATTTGAATCAAATTGAATGCATTTATAAATACATTTACTTTTGTAAAATGCTTGTAATTGCTTTATGACTTCTAATGATTCTTGTCTAAATATTTTAGAATATGACTTTGGTTTGAATTTTCAGAGAGCCTTCAAGACTGAAATCAGTTAATTAGAATTTTTATAAATCATTAAATGAAATGTTTTTATCTTGATATATAAAAGGGATTTTTTTATTAATCTATTCTCTTCATGAAAATAATTTTTGAAAGATTAATTACACACTTGTACAAAGGAAAACAAAAGAATCATTTGAAACAAAAGTAACACATGTACAGAGAATCAAATCAGTTATTGTATTTGATCTGCAGAAAATTAATAATTTTTATTTTTACTTATGAAATGATAATCTACATATGCCTGTTGTATGTGTTTTTGCTTCTTTTACAAATTTGTCATAACTCTAAAACTAACAGTATTAGTTTCCACTGAATGATCTACTCATGAGCATTCATTACAGAAATTCCATTTCCAAAGTAGATTTGACAAACAAAGGAATATTTTTTTAGTTCATGATTTATTGAAGAATGGTTAAAATGTTACCAAGAAAACTAAAAATTCTTGCTTAATTTTTGGAGAAGTAAGCAGATTACTTAATGTTTGGTTTTCAGAATCAGTTCCCATTAGTCTCAAGTTGAAATGTACTCATTATGAATTTAGACAGACCTTTAATCTTTATCTAGTGAAAATATAAAGTTGAATTTCTGTGCAAGTTTAAAATCTGGATTTTATGGTTCTATTTAAATTTGATTTTTTCTTTTCTTTTGTCAATCAGTTTACTTGTTTTCTGTAGGATTTTATCTGCAAAAACAAGTTATATTTAAAAGTAAATGACTTGTATGTTAAAAGGAAAACTAAGCAATAGAAGCCATATACAGGCTTGATATTGAAATATTAAGCATCCTTCAGATACTTAATATTATATAGCAGTTTCTAAAATAGATCAAATAAGATATTGTAATTTCTAGAATCCAACCATATTTTTTATCTGATCTCTGTTCAATAGTTGGTTTAAATAAAAGACTAAAAAATAATGACATTCACATGTCTTAAAAAAAGTAATTTCAATTGAGTGACAAAAATTTTTGCTTAAAATAAACCATGTTAAAGTATTTTTTTTTTTTTTTTTTTTTTCTAATAAAAATTTTTAGTAGGTGACACACTTGATTAGAAACAATCAAATTTGCATTGGGACCTTATGAATATTAGAAATTGGATCCACTGTTTTGTATTATTTACAATCTTTACATTAAGTTTTTCATTTAACAACTTAATACGAATGTTGAGAAAAATATACAAAAACATTACATTTAATCATATATCTAAAGTATTTGGAATATATATATATATATATATATATATATATATATATATACTTTATATAGATTTTCTTGCCTTCACTTAAAACTGTACATAATTCTAGATTTTGTAGGTGATTTCATGTGTGTGTATGTTTTTATTTTCTGATATCAACAAATTTATTTATTTCAGGAGAATTTTGTAGAAGTAATGGAAAATCAGGAGTTTCTGATTCTGTCTCATGATGAAGTTGCTAAACTGCTGTCAAGTGATGACCTCAATGTTCCCAGTGAAGAAGTAATATTTCAAGCACTAAAAGCCTGGGCAAGGCATGACCTTGCCAATCGGAAAAAGTACCTTTCCAAGTTACTTGCTCACATCAAGTTACCTCTGATGGCACCTCAGGTTGGTAATAAATTAATCTTATGCTTTTTATTAGTCAATTGAGTAGATATGTTGTCATTATTTTTCACTTTTTCATATTTGTGACTACAAAAAACAACAAAAAATTAATGTATTATCCTGTTATTCTTCTTGTCTTGTCACTATGCATTTAATTTACAGTTGTGAAATTCTTAAGAATGTTTCAAATCTCCAGATCATTTACAACTAGGTACCTCCACTAAAATCACGATACCTAAGGTTTAAATTTTTTTTTAAATTAAAAAAAAAAAAAATTTCATTTTAGCTCTAATTGAAAGCTAAATTTACTATTTCCAGTAAACAAAATACTATGGTGTGTTTCAAACTGTAATTATATTGATTGAAATCAATTTTCATTTTTTATTTATTTATTTTTTTTATTTATTTTTTTTTTTTCAGTATAATCATTAGACCCCATTTTTTTTAGATATTTGTACACAAGATAGTTCTCAGTATTAAAAATCTTGCAAAAATAAAATATGCTTTTCTAATACTTTATTTGAGGAATGTTAGCTAATTTAAAGTATAATTAATCTGATTTGAAACAAATATTATTTACTTTAAGTTTAAAATAATGCATTTTTAAACCAAACAGTAGTTGTTGTTTTTAACTGACAGTAGCCATGTTTACGTGGTTGATAAGTAATGAAAAGTTGATGACATTGATTATTGAAACTTTATCTGTAAAACATAATTTTAGAAAATGTGATCACCTTTCTTGTACAATTTTTAAGTACTCAGTAATCTTAAAAATTTTGGAAAATATTCTCCATAATCTAATTTTAGAAATGTTGACTTTAAATTGACTATAGTCATCACTCTTATTTTCTGATTTTGGATGTTTTTGAAAACCTGGTTCTACTTTCAGTTAAAATAATTATCTTATATAAGGTATGATACATTTATGGGTAAAAGTACTCAATATCAGGGATAGCGCATATTTAAATATAAATGTGGAGACTGAGGTCAACACCAAGTGGCAACAGTCTATTTTATGTGTGAACGCAATCTTCATATAACTTAAAATTTTTATAAAAGTTAATTTTCAGAAAAAAGTCAACAGGTCTCCATCAAGAAAACAAGTACAAGCAAAAAAAATAATAATAATAATATATATATATATATATATATATATATATATATATATATATATAAGATAGAAAAAAGTTTACAGTAGGACAATATTCATTTTCTAAAGAGAATCAGGATTTTTTTTTAAAATACTTAATATTGGATTTATCATCCCAAACACACACATTTTATTTTGTGGAAGGAGGGCCTCTTGTTCATGAAATAAATTAATTGCAATCTGTCAGTGCTCTAAGGTTTTAACTGTACAAGTTTAAATATTTTAAAAATTTTTTCTTAAAAGAAAAAAGAATCTTTCAAGCATTGTAACTTTTCACTGCTTTCACTATTTTATTTGTTTTAGTTTGCATTTACAAACTGGTCATGCAGAAATACAAATACTTATGCTTGCATACATGCAGATATTTGTTGGTTACAAATTTAAAAAAAAAAACACAAAATTTACCTTTTTCTTTTTAACCATTGTAACCATTTTGTAAGCTCCAAATATGTTAGTTTCACTAAAGTTTTATGTATTGAACTTTCAGTTTCTGATTAGTTTTTCTAGTTGAGTGACAGGCTAGGTTTTATTTTATTGTTTAATCCTTTACCTTCCCTCTGGTGTGTGCCTGTCAGTATGAGATATATATATAAAATACCAATGCAAGTAAACCTGTCAAGGGGATTGTTTATTTACTACTAAGACATGATCTGGCTGAGAAGGACTCTATTGCTGACCTCTAATTTGTCTCCCCACTCTGTAATTTATACAAGGTCAACACCACCCCACCCCCACAAGCACCCAGTGTTCTTTTGTTTTGCCCATGCCAACCAATCATATTCTCATTAACAATGACAACTGTATATGTGTATAAATTGAAAGAAATTAAGTTTTACTGATATAAGGATAAAATAAAAATAATCCCATAATCTGTCTAGAAATCTTAATACAGAATTAAGATTTTATTGTCAGACATTATTTTTGATAATGCAAACCATTTCAACCTGTACTTCTATGCTATTCATCCTCCAAGCAAGTGTTCAATGCCCCACCCAAAAAGATTTACCTAGAAGCAATTTCTTATTTATTTTTATTGTTTGGGTAGGGGTAGATCAATGTAGAGTTCAAAATTTAGAAATAAAAGCAGGTTAGTCTAGTTCAGAGGCCAGGATTTGAGTCAAGAAAGAGAGGAATCGTTGCACACACCTTCCCTTTGCTTTTATCAATGGTCTACTAGGAGAAAAGATTTATATTCAATCTTGTTAAATATTTTTTTATTGTTTGTCATGTTGGTGTGAATTTTTTTTGTTTCTCAAACCAATATGTCTTCTAAACTGTAGTCCTGACCTATATATCTATATCGGTGGTCACGCCTGTACTTTCCCCACTTTACTATATATATACATACATTTTTTATATATATATATATATATATATATATATATATATATGATCCAAAAGAAATGAATTTAAAATGAGGTGGAGACAACACCAAATTTCTTTTAATAATATTAGAAACTAAAACCAAACATTCTTATCTAAATATTTTTATCATTTAAAAGAAACAAATAAAACACCAACAGTAAAATAGAAAATAAATAGAACAAGAACTTGTAGAACCTGGGATGACCCATGCCCTTAATGCCTACATGAAAAACTACACATTATCAAATTTCTAAAAAAACAAAAATTTATTAAATCAAAGAAATGAAATAATGTTTTTTTTTTTTTTTTTGTTTTTTTTATTTTTTTATTTTGCAGGCACCACCAAATATATGCCTTAAAAAATTCGAAATTTATAAATGGATAGAAAAATTTACAATAGAAATTAAATCCTGAAATATATATATAAAATTCCACAATACCATACATAGATAATTACACAATACCATATAAAATCTATTAGCAAATTAAATTAATTTCAGACACGTATAAAACTATTAGGATTAAAAATACAACCTAATCATATCTAAGCACGCCTTTTAAGAGACCATCAACAGAAAATAAAAACAAATAAACACCAAAAAAGACTGTAACAGGAACATCAGTCAGTAAGTTTTAACAAATAGTAATAAAGACAGCAGAGCCTGGGGAAAAAAAAGGCCATTGTAGCCAGACAAGTAAACCATACACAACTCCAAAAATTTGACATATAATAAACATTCATATTTTCATCATCATATAGACCCCTTGAGAAAGAAAAAACCCCAGATTACACCTCCATTTCCAACCTATAAATGAGTAAAACATTTCTTCAGTTAGATATTCTAAATATCACCTGAGAATGAAACTGTACTCTAAATTTTAAGTTTAATATTGAAATTAAACTTTAGGGCTTAGTTACTTTTGAAACATAGTAATTTCTGTGCTGCGATGGGATCATATTTTAAAAAAAATAATATATATATATAATATGCACACGTGTTACCTAAGGTTTAAAATGAATTTTTACAAATGAAAAATTTTTCTTAAAGCGTTTACTTTAGCTTTAAATTTAATATTTCCAATAATCAAAATACTTTTTGCTGTATTTTAAAACTAATTTAAATTGACTGGAAAGATTTATTTTTTATTTTTTTATTATTTATTTATTTTTTGAAAGCATTAAAAAAATCACTGATTTTAGTGTAATTTTTAGCCATCTGTCATCACAATGTAATTCTCCTTCAAAAGTAAATTGTACTTTTCTGAATATACTTGAGGAATATTAGCAGATTTAAAGTTTAATTAACCTAGTTTAAAACAAATATTACTTGATTTAAGTTTAAAATATCACAGAAATGCATTTTTAACATGGAGCTAGCTGTTTATTTAAGGTGTTGACAGCTTGACTGACAAATGGAAGGTTATCTAATATTTTTCTGTGGTGGACATATCTGTAAAAATTACTTGAAGAATATGACATGAGCATCTTTTATTTATTTATATATACATATATATATATATATATATATATATATATATATATATTTTTAACTACCCAGTGATCATACAAACTTAGGAAAATATTCTCTAATGTTTTATTGAATTTTAGGTACTTAAGTTTAAATTTACTATAGATTTAAGTTTTACACTTTTATTTTCTGATCAAGTCAATGTATGGATATCTAAAAAAAAAAACTCAAAATTCTTTTTAAAATATTGAGGGTCACTGAATTGTAAGCTTTTTCATTTATTAGTAAATATAGTTTTTAATTAATAACGATACCAGCTAACTGGTATAAATTAATACAAAAATGAAAAAGATTTAAAACTTTATCAATTATTTTAACTAATATTTTTTAAAAAATGAAAACAATTTTTGTAAAAATTTATTATTTATCAAAAAAAAAATTTTCATTAAGACAATAGTGTTCATAATATATCTTATTCATAAAAGCAATTAAAAGCTTTTCTAATTAAATAATGTCTTAGTTTTATAGCATCTTTTATTTGAAAATTCAGTGCAGATTTTTGATAACAGGGCGTCCTGTTTTACATAGTAAATTGATAATTTAAATTATCCAAAGAGTTCTGTATATAACTAATATAAACATTAAGCAGTACCAAAAGTATTTCTCAAAATTTTAAAAAATTATGTAAGTGGTCAAGGTGGGGATGTAGTGGCTGGAGAGACATATTTAAAATAATTTAATTCTTTAGCAAATAAGTCTTGAAAGTATACTTTATATCTGACAATTATTTGATTTTTGCAAGAATATTTTTCACTACAAAAATAAAATTTCCTATATTAATCTTTTGTTCACCACAACACCACACATCCAGCCCCATACTAATACAAGAAAAACAAGATTTTTTTAACAAAAAATCAAAAAATGTAATTTATTAATAAAAAAAAAAAATCCTATGGTCTTTCCTCTTAATAAAAGCAAAATTTTATTGTCAAAATCTGTATTAAGCTTTGGTCATTTTT